CACCGCCAACTCTTGGGCTACTCTTTTACCAACGAATAGTGGGATTGACCGTCACATTATAACGCCCCCACGGCTGAAAGGGCGAGCATGTTTGGTGCGACAGGGATTCGAACCCGCAACCCTCTGATTGCGAGTCGAGTGCCTTAACCACCTGGCCATGCCGGGCCGATTTAGGAGTAAGCATATTCTTAAAAAGCCCCCCAGTGGTACAGCGGTATGTCTGCGGACTTACAACGCTAGAATCTGGGTTTCGATACCCGTGGTGGGCAGAGCACAGATAGCCCATTGTGTAGCTTTGTGCTTAATTACAAACAAACAAACTTCTTAGAAAAACCTTAAGTACATAATATTGTATAGAGATGGAATATTCTGTTATATTCCAAATTTGCTATTTCATTATGCATTCCAATTAGATATTTTATTGAAACATTGGGTATAAATGATTATTATATTTTGATTTTGCAATAAAGAAACTACTACTGTATGTCTAAATTGCATATTTTTTTCGACGTTTTAGTTTTCATTATTATTTTTTTAATTTGGCTGTCGTACTTTTGTATATTGATTTATACTGATAAAATCACTCTCATGACGTCTGGTACATTCGATAATCAATAATTGATATAGCCTTATGCTGAATTGCAGAAAAATACAATATCATTCCATCTTCTCTCTCTCTTAAGAGTTTTATTTGTCAAAACAAAAGTGATATAATGACATAAATAAAGTAATATCAGTCAGAAGTTGGGAAAAATATACATGTAAAAACTTGATCTAAACAATAGTATATCAACACTTTTATGTGGAATTTCTACTTACCATGTACTGTAACAAGGCCACAGTTCTTGTAAATTGAAAGCTTCATTTTTGCTGCAATATACATCATTAATTACATGTACATATTTACCATAGAAGACATGATAATAATTTTATATTCCCCTGTGCGCTTACAAAAACGTATATATATATAAATGAAAGTTTATTTATAAGACTCTTGTCTCAGCCCAGGTTAATGTTTTTAATAATTTTATATTCCCCTGTGCGCTTACAAAAACGTATATATATAAATGAAAGTTTATTTATAAGACTCTTGTCTCAGCCCAGGTTAATATTTTTAATAATTTTATATTCCCCTGTGCACTTACAAAAACGTATATATATAAAGAAAGTTTATTTATGAGACTCTTGTCTCAGCCCAGGTTAATGTTTTTGGGGTTATTGTATGTAGGTAAGTAATATTATGTTAATAATCCTTACCCATTCTTATTCGTAAATGACTTAAATCAAATTCGTAATAACTACAAATCACTTAATTTAGTTCACATCGTGACAGTTGTTGTGCATACAATTGATAATATAAATAGCGCCTTCAACACTACTATGTCTGTTGCATCTCAGCCGGCTTCATGAACGCTGACATTTTTTAATTCACTAAAGGAATCCAATACTTGCCTTAAAGGGCCAACTTTGATTCAATATGGTTAATTAACGACATACTTTCTGAAGGGGGAGTAATACTTCAGTATGGTTAACGACATACTTCCTCAAGGGGAAGTAATACTTCAGTATCTTTAACGACATACTTCCTCAAGGGGAAGTAATACTTCCGTATCTTTAACGACATACTTTCTGAAGGAGAAGTAAAACTTCAGCATGGTTAACGGCATACTTCTTCATGGGGAAGTAACACTTCAATATGGTTAACGACCTTGAAAACAGTGTTGGGATTTACAGCTTTCAGTTTGATGCCTCCGTTAGCATATTGTTCAACATATTTCACGAATATTCAATCTCAATACAATTAAAACATAATACTTTGTAAACGAGCTAATGTTTTCTTTTCAATGACAAAGAAATATGAATAAGCTATGGCTACCGAACAAAAATACGTTTCAGAACTATCGAAAAACGATAGTTACATATATAGTTTTTTTTTATCAAGATATTAATTTCGAATGTATAATACTTACTATACTAAATGTATACGAAACATAGTTTGAAAAGAATAGCATTTGTTTTTGTTTGTTGTTAAGCACAAAGCCACTAAATGGGCTATCTGTGCTGTGCCAACCATGGGTATCGAAACCCGGTTTTGAGCGTTATAAACCTATAGACTTATCGCTGAACCACTGGGGGGGGGGATAAAACTTCTTGAAGAATGATTAGAACAAACACACAGATTTGTCAAGTAAGTTCAGTTAGCGTTCATAAAATTAAGAATACAACTTTATTACATGTAACCATGTAAATGATCTTATACGAAGATTATTTGAGATTATCAGAGATACAGTAAAATCAAAATTATCAGACTACATATATATGTGTATCGTCAGTGATGTATTACGTGTGGGCTAGGGTAAGGAGATCCTAACAATATTCTTCTTGCTCCAAGCTCCAAAATTTAAAGGCTGGCCACTGATGGTGACCATGCAATGTCTATAACCACCTAATTTTTCTTTTTAAATTCTCAGTTTAAGTAAATATTACAAAATGAATTAATATCCACAAAATCTAACAATAAATTATATTATATATATATATATATACCTGACATATAGTAATATTTATGTTGTTGTAAGTACTAAATTGCTAGTACACTGAAATGTATAAAATAAATAAAATTTATTTATAAGTACCTTTTCCACTCAGCACATCCTTAGCTTTGTACTTCAGGGGTTTTGTAGGAGACGTTATAGATAATACACCAGATTTCTGTCGTCTTATTCTTCCGGTAGGGGGCAGACCCATTCCTTGTCTTTTCACCTCTTCCAGAAGTTTGGAATCAGTTTCCGAGCATGTGGAAAATTCACTACTGTGGTCATCATCCATAGATTCTTCTTTGTCGACATTCTCCAATACATCCATAGGAGGAGTCTTTTCCCAACCTATGGGAGATGTTCTGCTGGAAAGAGTGCCTGTAGTGGTTGAATGTGAAGAATCTCCCTCCATATTGCTCCTTCCACTGGCTCCCTCTTGCGTTACGGAATGATTCTCAGGTGCTTTAGCAACAGCCCGTGGTTCGGCTGGTAGTTTGTCTTCACTGTGACTGCAGTCTGCAGATAGCAACAAACTGGGTAAAGATCTGTAGCTTTTGAGGTGCTTCTTCTCCAGATCCTTGCCTTTCAGATCATCATCATTATTACAACTTTTAAACTCTTTTGTAGAACATTCATCTGTAAGTTCTTTGTTTTTTGTACCACCAACCATAGTACATCGACTTTCAGGATATACCTGAGTTCCAGAGTTAATGTTTTCATCTATAAAAATTTCTTTTTCTGAAGTTCGCAAAGCACCACAATCCTCTAAAAGACGCTCAAACGTAGCGTGAAGTACGGAACTTTCACAAAAGCTCTTCGACATTTCTTGAGAAATAGGTTTTCGTCTCTCATCCCGACTAAATAAGTAAATAGCTTTTTCGTTTTTGTGTCCAGCTTTGTTAGTATTAAAGGGTTGTGACCTCAAACATTGATTATTGGTCTTAAAAGTGTGAATCTCAGCTACGTTTTCATTTCCGCTATTGCAAGCTTTTGTCTTGTTAGTTGATCGTGTTATAACGACTCTGTCTGTAAAATAATCACATACTTCCGTGGCAGTGCCAGAAGGTTTTGATATCAAAAAAGTTTCACACGCCTGTTTCGTTTTGGAGTCATTATTATTTTGATTTAATTCTTCAGTGGGAATTTCTAACACACAGTCCAAACTAGTTGATGGTGACACAGTTTTAGGTAGTTCATTACTCGCGTTGCTGTTACAGACGATATTATTTTGACTCTTTCTTTGATTTGGCCTTTTTCTTTGGTGTTTCTGATTACAAATGTTTTCATAAGTATATGACGTGTCTTTTTCCTTCACAATTAAATCAGTCAGGGACTTGGTTCTTCTTGGAGTATTTATAACCGGGCCCACACTGAAAGAAAGCAATTCTTCAATGCTTTCTTTCACAGCTTTTTCAACTACACAGCTGATGTCGTCGTTAGCGTAAATACTTTCTCCTTTCTCGTGACGAAAGGAAACATTATTGGAATATGTTTTGTTACCTTTAAGGTTATGTACTGTAGAATATTTTATTTTCGTGCATCTATTATCCTCATATTCGGTCAAAGAAGTGTCGCAATCGTACCAAGCCTTTTTTGAATCGCGTTTGTCCGAAGATACAACCGAAAGTTGTTTTTCTGATGCGTGAGATTTATTTTCCAGGTCTACACATTTGTCGGTTTGACTAATTGCTGGTGTCACTTTCGAACTGAATAAAGCTGACTTGTTTCCTTTATTAACACCTATATTTATTTCATCCTTTTGCATGGGATATTGAGGGTGTTTGTCATTTATTTTGGTATAGTTTCCATGATTTAATTGACTTGTTGAATCAGGAAAACTAGCGCCCTCTACTAGGCGGGTAACACACGATTCACAGCTACAGTTAATGCTGTCTTCATCGTCAGCCAAAGTTGCATTATCCTCCTCAACATCTCGGAGCATTTGTAGAACTTTCCATCCCTTGGGAAGCGTACGTGTAGTCACTGTATTCCGTTGTAAACTTTGTGATTTTCTTCGGCAAGATTTGACATTAATTATTTTATGCTTTTCTTCATCGTTTTGTTTATCGAAATTAGTTCCATTGACACTCTGGAGAGTTTTTCGAAATGTTGAAGGTGGTTTATGTTTCATTCCATAAAGACATTCAGAGCAAATGGTTTTTAACACATCCGAAACGTAGGGTTGATATCTGTTGTCACTCTGAGCACTAATACATTGATTTGATGTTACAGGTTGAAGGACAACAAATCTTCTGGCGTCTGAATTCGCTGGTAAACTTCTGAAGGAAGGGATCTTTGTTTGATTAGTGTGTTGAGAAAGTTTCGTTGAACAAGAAACGTTTTCTTTATCTTTTTGCTGACACTTCTTAATAGATTTCTTAACTTCCTGGTGTTCAGTGTTTGTTTTACATACTTGTTTGTCACATATCTTCTTGAAGTTATTGGTACCTTCCATTCGTCGTTGTACATTAGTCGCTGCTTCGCAGTTTTTTTTACTTCGTTCTTTACATTTTTTACAGCTTACCTTTTCTTTTTTTGACACATTTTCCTCTTGCACGATGGTTGATTCCATTAATACCGGAAGTGGAATGTTTGTCCTCCTCCCTACTTCTAAGGCTGTGGATGTTCGAGGAAGAAACTTTGAAGTGATGTGACTTTTTTCGGATTTTTGTAGCTTAGATTGAGGAAGTTTGTGATTTGTTAGATCTCCGCCAGTAGTAGTAGCTGCGAGCGCTTTATCGGATACAACTTGTGAACAATTAGAATTTTCAGTTAGAAAAAATCTATTTGATTTCAAAGCTGAAATATTTTTTGATGTTTGGAATATGTGTGGATATCTGATACCAATATTTTCCTTGTCGTCTGACATTCTACCTGCAACTGTGGGGTGATCACAACGTTTTACACGATTTTGACAATACTTAGACTTCATGGACTCATCTTTACATCGTGTGTTGTATGCACCGCTGATTGCCTGCTCCTTCTTGGGAACTGATTTTGTGAAACCAAAACGGGCTGAAGAACTAGATTTCCAGGAATAAAAACTGCACTGTGAAACTTTATCCAACAATGAGCTTATGGAAGATTCGCTTGCGCTTAATTTGGACCGTGATTTCTTGGTGTAACTAAGGGGATATGGGAAAGTCTCACCAGTTGCTTTTTCCTGATTTTGTGCACTAGACAGTTTATGTTGAGGTCTATTGCAGTTTTGACTGTTTTTATAAGTGTTAAGTGTTACGTTCTGAGCCACGGAACAGTCTTCCAACACCCGTTTTTCAGATCGTTTGACAGTGCTTGGAATTCTTGATGCTCCAATAAGAGAAACAGATTTTGATGTAGGAGATCGAAGAGGATTTTCTTGAAAATGGTGATTCTTCCTGGTAATTCCTGGTAAACGCACCCAAAAAGGAACCTTTGATCTCTTGGCTTGTAGAGTTGTTTCTATTTTCGTACGATTGTGATCCTCCATTGCTAGTAGTTATTTCTCACTTGTTTTACTAGAGTTTATAATAAAACGTACCTGAAAGGGAGAAATATCACAGAAAAATAGACCATAAACACCAAACACTTGCAAACTTGAGAAAAAACACCTGTTGTGTTGTATACTATCTTCTCGTTTAAATGTAGGCAACGTGATGAAAGTCAGTATGTCTAAAATGTTCAGTTCTTATTAGCTTCTGATCAAAGAAAGCTACCTACACAGGTAAGAGCTAAAAAATCATCCCAGTAATAAATATAACTAACTTGATATACCGTTCTTATGTTTTTACTTACAATTATCATAATGCATTGTTTCATCAGCTGGGTACCCTTCGCTGTTAACGATATTTTCGGCCGTAATCCCATTAATATCTAACGATGCTCGGGCAGCTTAAAATATTTAATTTAGTCATAAACCCACATATTAAGCTAATAATGCAAAATAACCCTTCTGATAAAAACATGTTATAATAATAAATAGTAAAAAAATAGATTTATTAAACCTGTTATTGATAATGAATGTAATAATAAAGAGAGAAAACAGTTCAACTTACTTATAACATAGAGTTTTCTTTCAATTAAAATAAATATCTAACCTTTTTAGGGTAATTTTATCTATGACTATGAACTGTGTAGACATTTCAAGTAAAAAAAGTAATGATGAAGAATAATATTACAAAAAAGCAAAGCCATAACTCGAAAAGGTTATATGGACATTAAAGTGATGACTACGATATCAGATGATAAAATGTGGTGATGTCAACTGAATAAGATAATATTTATAATTTATCTACATGATAGTAACTGTATTGTTGTCATTAACCTTTGTGCGTGTTTTGTTTGTTTATAATTAAGCATAAAGCTACACAATGGGCTATCTGTGCTCTGCCCATCACGAGTATCGAAACCCGGATTCTAGCATTATAAGTCCGCAGACATACCGCTGTGCCACTGGGAGCTTATGTGTTTTAAATAATGTATTTGCAAAAGTGATTGTAAATATATTTTTGTGTATATTTTTCATTTAATATATATCTGACAATATTTATGAATTATAAAGTTATCTGACAAAAATCGGAGCTTCAATGAATTTCATTATACTATTACGACAGCGGAAGTCACGTGACGCTACTAACACGCCACTCGCTTCTAGACATAACGGATTATAGCGTTTGTTATAGCGCGACTGTGGAAATTAAGTGTATTGCAAAGTTGTATTCAGAAAGAATAAACCAGTTTTATTTAAGAAAGGACTTGTGTCGCTAAAGTTTCGCCGGAACGAAATTTACGGAAAAATTAACTAACGAACGGAGACGTAACAATACCATTTCTCTCTAACACATTCAACAAGTTTATTTTCTTTATGAGAACTGATTATTTCAGTTACTCGCGAAAAACGTCTTTAATTTCGCGCTGATAGGTTAGAGGTAAGGCAGCTAATCAACAGCACCCACCGCCAAGTCTTGGGCTACTCTAATCAAATAATGGGATTATATCGTCTCTCTTATAACGCGTCCAAGACCCGAAAGTGTGGAGCGCGGTTACGATACACGAATCATACGCTCTCTGATTGACAGTCTGGCACTCTTTAGAAGGAAACAAGATGGAAAGCCTAAAGCAAGATGAATTATTCTTTTCTGGTTTTGTTTGTTTGTTTTTGTAATTTAATTATTAAAGCAGTTCCATTCTATATTAATTTAAGGTTAGTATTAACTGTTCCTTTCTGTAATGATACACTTCTTTAACTACGGAAAATATTCGGATATTTGTAGAACTTTTAAAGGACGTGCTGTAAGTTTCATCAGCTTATCTGTATCAGGAACATTTAAGAAAGAGAACTTTACATGATTTTAAAGACACATAAATGAAGTTCTCCCACTTATATTCATGTAAAGCTTAGTTATAATTTCAACCTCTGATTAAGATGAGCTGATACAACTCTTAATTAATATTCTCAGCTAGCTAAGATGTTATTCTTGGTATGCATGACATAATGTGAACTGATATATTTTATACTGCAATTTATACCACTAAAAGAAAAACGCACAATAAATAACACA